ACTAGGCTACTTTTTCCAGTATCTTTGACAGAAAAGGCAGATTCAACACCTTAAAGGTTTTTGGTATATATTCTAGAGACAAAGACGAATTAATGATATTAGAGGATCTATGACATCTGGAAGCATCTCTTTCAGTAGGTTAGTCGGAATAGGGTCTAACATACAAGTTGTTGATTTAGATGAATTAATAAGTTTGCAAAATTCTTCCTCTCTTATAGCAGCAAATGAACCAAATTTTTCCTCTGGGAGACTACAATGCACCCCCTGATCCGATACTGTAGTAGACGGTTGCATAATTATAATTTTGTCACTGATTTTATCAATCTTCTAAGTACAGAAATTCATAAAGTCATTACTGCTGTGTTGCTTGGACACTTCTGGGCTTGAGGCTTTCTTTTTCATTAGTTTAGCCACTGTTTCAAATAGATACCTAGGATTATGTTTACTTTCTTCTAATAGGGTTGAAAAATAAGCAGATCTAGCTGTTTTTAAGGCCTCTCTGTATGCAATCAAGCTCTCCTTCCATGAAATCCGAAATACCTAGTTTAGTCTTTTTCGAGCTACGCTCTATTTTTCTGGCTGCTCTCTTAAGGGCCTAAGGCCCCGTCCACAGTACTGCGTTTTCGTTTAAAAACAGAGACCTTTTGCTACGTTTGCACCTCCCGTCCACACTAAAACGGGAAAAACGAAGACCTAAAACGGAGAAGTTTAGAAACGCTGCAGCTGCGTTTTGCGTTTTGAATATCCGGAGGGCGTTTTAGTGTGGACGAGACAAAACGGAGAACTTCAGAAACGCTGACGCAGAGGCTGACGCTTGGCTCTATGATTGGGTGTTATCAGTCATGACGTATCCTTCCCTGATTCTTCATTCACTGTTTACACCGGCACGCGCATGCCCAGTGTTGGTGAATGGTCACGTGATCCGCGTTTTCAGTCGTTTTAATGTGGACGGAGATTGTTTCTAATACGCAGATAAAACGCTGGTGTGGACGGAGATCGTATTCTTTTTAATTCTCCGTTTTTAAACGAAAACACAGTAGTGTGGACGGGGCCTGAGTGTGCTTGTTGTTCTTACTTAGGCAAGAAGTACCTCTTGGTGCTACAAAGAACCTTTTGTGCAATAGAAAGGTTCCTTGGATGTTAAAGGTTCTTCATGGAACCATATACTCCAACAAAGCACCTTTGAAGAACCTTTATTTTTAAGAGTGCAGTCGGTTTTCTAACACAAAAATCCCAGTTAATATAAAAGCTATTCCTCAAGATACCTAGCTCTTGAAAGGGCTCCTAGGCAAGATCTGCTAAGAGCAGGGACGAGGACTTTTAGTGGCTTAGGAGTTCCCCTAAGCAGCTGCACAAAATTTCTATTTTTTCCTTTTTTTCTCTATTTTCTGTTTGTAGGATATTTGTTAACAAGCCTTCATAAATAGACCAGCCAGCAATCACAGACATTGATAAAAGCTGAGCCGTGTTACCCTCGTTAAGACAACACTGAGTTGTAACGTTGCAATTTCTACTTCATTAAGGACATTCCCTTGAGATAGGCCATCTTGTTTTCAATGGGGTCCATATGGAAGTGAAAGTACAAAATATGTCAGCTAGGATATTAAAATGAGCAAATAAGACACGAATCATTATTTAAACAGGGTGTAATGAGCTTAAGTTTTCACAAATTTTAGATTCTAATAACCCCTACAGCTTACTATTCATTTTCCAGATATTTTCTTGAATGTGAAATATTATTTACAATTACAGTCTGCATAAGATTATTAGAGTGTATAATTATGTTTATTGATTTGAGGGTACATCCTTTGCTCATTATCACCAAAAGTTCATTTTCATCAAACTTTTGAAATGATGACTCATAGCAACGGGGTCAACCACACCTCCTCACTAAGATAGGATTTTTCATCCATTCCTTGCTCAGAGTTCACTGAAAATGTTCTGGAATCACTTCTAAGGGAAACTCCTACTGATGGTTTATTGTGTAATATTTAATGTTACTAATGATATTAGTAGGGCCCTAATAAAAGGATTAAAACATTTGCTAAACTTTTATTTGATTACCACCGTTTTTGATAATATATTTGTATTAAATAATTAAAAAATTGGAATAAAAAACATTTAATAGAACTCAATTATTTTTTAAACATAATTTTAATGTTATTAATGATAAAAATAAGACGTTAATCTTATTAATAATCAATTATTGAAGTTAGTTGATTACATATGTTTTATTGAACACATGTTTAATTTATTTAACTGTCATTTTAAGAGATGATAATAATAACCGTAATTTAATAATGCAGTTTATATCTTTAATAATTGTTAAATACCATTAACCGTGATATTTTCTGAGACGCTTCTCATACTGTGAAACTTTCCCCACATGGGGGAGTCCCCCACCCCACCCCTGCTGTTAAACAAGTTACTCAACTTATTAGTTAATTAACTACTTTTTACTTGGGTAGATTTTTAGACTGTTATTTTACTTTTACTTCAGTAAAAATTTATCAAAGTAGTAGCCTATTTTAGGTTGAATAACATTCTTCCAGTTTTACCTCTGATATTAAGTTACTCTAAAATAGTTATGAATTATTAACAACAAATGACATCTTCAATGGTGTAGTTAGATTAATGTAATAATTACTATCTCTAGAAAGTATTGGTCTACATATTACTAAATCCTATATCAACCTCAACCACTTGATTAATACCAGGAGGACAGACAAGAAACTGCACTTTTAATGGTTTCAAATTAACAATACAATTGCATGAATTATTCTTGAATTGATCAAAGTGTGTAGAGGGAGAAGGTTACATAAAAAATATACCTTTTAAAAATGTATGTTAAATCCACTATTGTTTTATACTGAATTGGTCTATAGTTTATGCAGTAGCCTATTTAATGTAATTGCATCATATTTTATTTTAAATTACAGAAGAATTAAGAGTAATCCCTTTAATTAAATTACAATATTTAGATTACTTGGTAATTAATTACACCCAACATCTCTTTTTGTCTGGCGCTGTTGCCATAGTGACTCATAATATCTGCGCTCCATAATGGCTTTTTATAGTTGTGGTGCACGCGCTTAAAGGATTAGTTCACTTTTGAAAAAAACGTTTGCTGATAATTTACTCACCCCCATGTCATCCAAGATGTCCATGTCTTTCTTTCCTCAGTCGAAAAGAAATTAAGTTTTTTGATGAAAACATTCCAGGATTTTTCTCCATATAATGGACTTACATGGGAACCAGTTGGTCGGAGGTCCAAACGACAGTTAATAACAGTTTCAGATGCAGCTTCAAATGTCTTTAAACGACACCAGACGATGAATAAGGGTCTTATCATGAAAAACGATCAGTTATTTCAAAACTTATTCCAAAAATCTAACTTTTCTAAGGACAAATGCTAGCATTGCTCCATTCTGTGAGGCGCGTTTGTAACGTCACATAATACGTAATTACGTTCAAAAGGTCACGGGCGACGTAGCCAGAAGTACAGAGTCAGAGTGTTTACAAGTTGAATGCATAGGTTGAACGTGCAAACTAACTCAAACGGCGTTTACAAAAAAAGGAATTAAAAGGTAAAACAACGATGTCGGACGATTTTGATTCTGTACTTCCGGCTACGTTGCCCGTGACCTTTTGAACGTAATTACGTATTACGTGACGTTACAAACGCGCCTCACAGAATAGAGCAAGGCTAGCATTTGTCCTTAGAAAAGTTACATTTTTGGAATAGGTTTTGAAATAACCGATCGTTTCGCATGACAAGACCCTTATTCATCGTCTGGTGTCGTTTAAAGACATTTGAAGCTGCATCTGAAACTGTTATTAACTGTCGTTTGGACCTCGGACCGTCCGGTTCCCATTGAAGTCCATTATATGGAGAAAAATCCTGGAATGTTTTCATCAAAAACCTAAATTTCTTTTCGACTGAGGAAAGAAAGACATGGACATCTTGGATGACATGGGGGTGAGTAAATTACCAGCAAAAGTTTTTCAAAAGTGAACTAATCCTTTAACTCAAGAGTCAGTCAACTCAGAGTTGATTGAACCAACTCATTTCAGCTGTTCTGTAACCAAAAACTCAAGAGTTTCCCATCTCAGGGTAAGTCAACTCAGAGTTCAAACTTTAACTCAGAGTTGGTTGAACCTCCTTATTGAAACGGGCCCCAGGGATCAGAAAGTAAAACTCCTGCCTTCCACCCATGACCTCAGCCAGCTGATTTCACTAATTAGTTCTCCTGGCTGATAAGCAGTGCTAATTACCAACCCATGTGATTGGAACAAAATACTGACGACTTTTAGTTTCTGAACCTGAACCTTACACCTCTGCTTTTTAGGGTAACAAAGATTATATATTGGAGTTCAATAATGGGTCTCAAATTCATAGCTCTTCAATAAATTCTTTTAACCATCTATTAATTTAGGTTTTGTTGATCACAGACATCAACACCATGCATCTCAATTTTTCTCAAGAAAATTTAAAATATGCTTCACATAAATTGTCAATGCTTTGTTATATCAGAGACACTGAAGAAGTTCTGTGAAGTGGTCTGCATGTAGGCTATATGTAGGTCATGCACTACTCCACTTATTTCAATCCAACCGGTAAAGCTAAAAGTAACCAGTAAAGTTTAAGCCTTTGTTTTTAGCAACTAATTTGACTGCACGAGTATTTATACTGTAAATGCTATGTGCTCACATGCATTTTCTACCACCACAGAATCACAGGTAGAAAGTAGTGATGGTTTTGGACGCCATTTAACACCTGTATTTAATATTGTCCAGTTGTGACTGGATTGTCCAACACACTTAATATCAGTAACATGTGGGCAATTTTTTAATTGACTTATTTTGTAACAGGGTGTGTTTTTTTACAGTTACATTATCTCTCAATGTCAATATCTAATGCAAACGAACCTTTATAATATCACACTCTCAGCTCTCTTTCCATTCAGCAATGTTAAGCAAATGCTTAAACTAGTTATAAAAATGTTCACAAACATTTTATTTAAAAAGCAAAATGTGATGCATTTTATGTCATGAAAAGGGGAAGGGTTCAAATTAGGTTGAGAAAACAAATACAACAAAAATATGCCTATGGATGCTAGAAAAGTGCCAAATGTTTGTGGTGTTAGGAAGAGGAGAATGTCAATCAAAACCGTATACCAAATAAACCCAACCCTAACTGTTACAATGACACAAAAGAAATATCATGCAGCAAATTTGGTGTACTATATTTCTCTGAGAACAGAATGACACTTCACCCAGGTACACATGATCATGTAGTTAAGGTGCTGGTAGATTTCATTTTTTCTTTTTTTCTTTTTTCAAGATTTACTCTTTCCATTATATGTAAAAGACATTCATATAAACCAGTGAACTAAGGCTGAACACATTAACCCGTCATTTCAAGGTCTTTTCACGTTAGGTTAAAACAAAAACAGACATAATCTCTTTTTTTATATAGTTGTATTGTATAAATCCACCAAGCAGACAACCATAGTTCTCTAGATGCAACAGGGGCATTGGTTTTGTTTGATATGGGGTCAATATCCCACTACTGTGGTCTTCATTGGCACATGAATTGGTGACCTTACCATTTCTAAAAGGTCCCATCCAAGGAAGGTACAGTATTTTGATAAAAAGGCTGTCCTGTGAGCAGCCATATTTAATTATTAAAACACTTAAATTTGAGAGACCACAGGAGCGGCACACTTGCTTTGTCTTTTTTACTGATCAAACCATTTTTCCTCTCTTCCTTTCCAAAATGGTGGTTGGAATGCAATGTCTGGTCAAAAAGGAGAGTAAATTAAATATGACGTGAGAGAAATGAAGTATACACTTTACAGGATTTAAAGGGCTTGGGAGGGTACACATACTTTTTTAACGGAGTATAAACAAAAACATTTCTGCAATTTTTTTTTCTGCAAAGTTGTGTGCTTTGCTAGTCACAAAGAGGGGCGTTTTAACAATCATTGGAAACAAGTTAAAAAAAACAAAGTTTGAACTGACAATTGCAAGTTTTTACCTAGAGGCAATCATGATTACATTGGGAAACAAAATAAACAATTCAAATGGACCAGCTGAAGCACCATAAGTTCTGCTTGTCAAGTATTATATATCAAGTGAGTAGTGATTTTATGACACTAACGAGAATTCAACAGGCCAGAGGCCCGTCGGACCCCAACGATAGCTAGACACTGGAATGATTCAGAGTGAGGAAATAACTCACCGTTCACTAAGAATTGCTTTCACGTGCATTCAAAAACACATTTCTCCGAGTCAAGTGTGCCATCTATGAGCACGCTACAAAACTGTTCTGATGACGACTACTGATGAAACTGAAAAATCAAGCTTGTGAAGCATCTTAAAGTAAGAGTGCCATTTCATATGGTCATAATACCATAATACATTAGACATGAAGATCAGCATGATCACTTTTACTCTTAGATAAGTCTTAAACATGAGAACCCTACTTTAAGAGAAAGTTGCATTTCACCACTGATGCGTAACTTTCCTCTTAAAAAATCAGCATGAACACATCATTGTAGCATTTGGGTGAATTTTCAAAATACATTTAAATCTGGTTATATAGTCCAAACTAGTTACTTTAATGTTCCGTTGATTTGATTGTTATGAAGTCCACACTAAGTTACATGTAACCGCAGAAATTCAGTTTTTGGAAAAATATCAAAGGAACTGGGAAAGGTAAAGAAAAAGAAAAAAGTAGACCATCCATACAGAACTCAATACATCAAATTTCTGCTAACAACGCAGAGCTTCTCCACAGGTAAAAGTGAGGAGGATATCACACACTTGTCTTTCTGACACACACACACACACACTGTGGGTCCTAAAAGGTCCCCGACTGTGTCCATACCCCTGGACCCTGTAAATTTCGCTGTGGATAGTGCTGTGCTCCAGAAGCCGTGAGATGTCTCGAGTTAGCCTGACTGGGTCTGTCTGTTCTCTGGCTGTGCACTCTGGACGACTGGGCCAGTTTGGAGTCACGAGCACCTTGTGTGTGTGGTACTGCAGTGCTGTCCATTTTAAGGTGGCCTAGACCTCTGGTGGGTAGAGAAAGAGCAGCTGACAGGGTGCTGTCCAAAAGTTTAGCTTTAAGGCTTGAGGTGTCCATCCCACCTCCACTGCTGCCGTGAGGCTGTGGCGCACACATTGTTGAGTCCACTGAGGAGATGGATACTGTAGAAGTGGGCGGGCTTTCTTGGGCGAGTGGGCTGTGTGTGGGCAGCTTTGAAGGATAGTAACTGGGCCTCCCAGAGCTGCAGCGGGGAGGAGAGGGGCTTACAGGGGGACAGAATGGAGGAGAGGAGCTCTGCTGGTCGAAGACGGGGCTTTCCGAGCGCTGGTGGGATTCTGGCTGGAGAGGCAGCATCTGCTGGACGATCATTAAAGACAGATTTAATAAACTTCCGACCAAACCCTTGTAGTGTATGGGTTCCATGGCATTATCTGAAATATCGGTTTCTCACTTGTGCATTGTGAATATCCTACCTGATGTGGGTGTATAGAAGGACTCTTTATGGGAGAGGCCAGAGATGAGCCCTGAAGATCATACCTGTCCATCTCAACAGCATCTATCAAAACACAGAAGTACTCAAACTCTGCAGGTCACAGCATTCTCAGTTTAGTTACTGAAAACATGCAGTCCGATTCATACCAGTGCTCTTATCACGACTGCTGATTTGGTCATTCATTCCGGCATCTGCTCTTTTAAGGGCACGCTCTATGTTTAGATTGCCCCTCAGGACACGTTCCAGAGCACCCTGTCCCTCCCTCAACCGCTCAACTGATGTAGGGACCATCCTGATAAACACACATTCACAACAACCGTTCATTAGCAGGACCAGGGGTTTCATTGTTCCATTGAACTATTTAAAAAACATTAATTGAAATTAAAAATATATTTCAGGAAAAACTTTGAAAATTAGAATTGTTGCCTTTGCAACTAACTGAAATAAGCTTAGGTTAAAGTTCCCGTGAAATCGAAATGGACCCAATTTACTTTGTTAGCGAATATTACTAGTCTTGTGGTGAACAATTAATCCGTGCAAGTAACTATATATTAAAATAATTTTTTTTTTTTACCATGGTAATCTTTCATCAAAATCTAAAAAGTTACTTCCGGTCTGGAATGGAAACGCTGGAAACGCTTAAAGGGTAACTAAACCCCTGGTCAGAGCCTGACTCCACCCACTGGCAATATTTGAAAAATGCTGGAAAAGTGGGCAGAGCCCAGGGGAGGGGGGCGTGCACCTGAGACGCATCTCTTTGTATGGAACTTGCCTACGTCACCAACAACCGCTGTGTCACGTACCACCGCAAACATCCAATAGGAAAATTCAACTGCAGTAGCCACCGTTCAACCTGAAGAGGGCAGCACTAAGACGTTTTTACAGCATATATTGTAGAAATAGAACACTTTATAAACAAATGCCATAAAAGTTACTCGAATCAATGACTGGTATTAATAAAGATCCATTCTTACAGATCATTAACTAAAAAAAGTTGGTAAAATATTTAGTTACTCTTTAACCACTCCCCTCAAACCGTTAGTTTGCTATGAGCGAGAGACCCTGCCCTCTGTTCAATATTCTGTTTCACTTGGAAATACGCCACAGCACTGGAGGAAAGTCGATTGCAACTTCCGGTTCACGGGGACTTTAAAGCCCTAACATTGATAACTAGATATAGAAACTAAAATTGAAATTAAAAATAAATTATACCCAAATCAGATTGACATGGCTAATGTGTATGAATCTGTAATTTTCTCACCAGTGGTTGGACTCTGGTCCACCCAGTACTGTGGTCTGTGTGTGGTTTCCAGACCGGATGCCAGGCGGACTGACCTCCTCTATCTGTGGGAAAGTTTGCCTTTCTGGAGAGAACGAATTGTGCGGAGAGACTGAAGGTTGAACATGCATGAGCGGCTGTCCTGGAGACTCTGTGCGAGGGCAAATGGAGCTGATGTTTGTGACGAGGGGCGCTGGGTCCCGTGGCCCTTTCTTTCTTTCCCTGTACTCTAGCAGAGAAACCTAGATGGAAAGAAGGTGTGTAAGAGTGACTAAAAGTTTCACATGGATGATGAACTGGCATGCAGTTGTGTCCTTCAGTAGAATTTCTTCGTTTACACATGCATCGTAACATTCACATGTTCACAGAAAGCAACACATGCATGATCAATTGATGTACAATGATATCATCTAGAATTTCAATGAGTATGAGAAAGATACAGCATGCAGTACCCAATGCTGCCATTTAGAAAAGCGCCACACTAAATACCACCACATTAAATGCTCATATTAACACACTCAAATGTTGTATAATAAAATACATGTGCATTTTTTATTTCATTGCAAGAACCCTTGCAAATAAAACATACCATGATAAAAGTTTTAAACTAGGATTCTAGACTCTAGAACAAAAGCAAAGAAAAACCCACATACAAATACAGACAGATTCACCATGAGAAATGTTTGTAGATTACAAAATGAAAGCATCTGTGTCTTTGAATGAATACAATTGGCTCTGCAGCTGCTAACTTTTTTTTTTTGTTAAGAAAATTTGCTCAATACAGATGAAGGAGTACATCATCTGGAGATGCAAATGTTATGGACATGCACACTTCTAGATGGAGGCCACTTATTTCATATTCACCATGTTTTGCCCTGGCTTGAACTGGCCCCTTACAGCTAATGCCTGGTACCCAGACAAGCCAGCCAGCTGACTACCAGCACTCACCATGACCCTCTGCCTTGAGAAAAGGGTAAAAGAAAGATTTTGCAAGAATTTTAAGAGTGAAGAAAAGAGAGAAACAGGGAGCAAATCAAAGACAGAGCAAGAGATTCATGCCAGATAGAGGACCACCGTTCATGATTTAAATGTATGTGTTTTTCCCCAAGATTTTAGACCAGTTCTTATTTTAAACTAACAGAAAGGATATTTCTTGACTTGGCATAATTACATTTGTCATCTATACATACATCTATATATGAGATGATAACTCCAAATTACGAGAAATAAAGTCAGGATTTTGAGATATAAACTCGCAATTCAGACTTGTTTTCCTGCATTTGCTAGCTTGTATCTCACAATTCTGTCTTTATAACTCGCAATTTCAAGAACATTTTTTTCAGATAAAAAAAGCTTCCATAGTTTTGAGGTAAAACAGCCTAATTTATTGTCATTGGGTAATAGTGATGTGAGAATTTATTTTATGTTGGAAATTAAATTATGTCTGTTTGTTAGAGGGTGATTTCTGAACAGAAAATGTAATTTAGATCTGTATAGTATGACAAAAAAAAAAAAGAAAAAAAAAGTTTTTTATTTTGAAGGGAAAAGTAAATAGTAGACACTTGGAGTAAAACCCCCCCAACCTCACCCCCATCCAATTACAATCAGATGACAGTTGGGATAAAGACATCGATACAAAGCAATCAAAATCACAGAATGAACTGATATGATGTCATTTTTGAACAAAATCACACCAAAATGAAGTTTAAAACAGCTTGCCAAAGTGAAATTTATGGCAAAAACTTTGAACCATCATCGGTCCTTGGTGATTATGTAATAGGTAGCTGTGCTTTGAGGCTCCACCTGCTTTTTGACATGGAAATCTCCTATGGTTAATTTACTCTGTTCAGTTTGTCAAGGTCACACATGAGTAAAAACATGAACACACTGAAGAATACTATAAAGCTGCTTGCGTTAAAGCAATCTATTGTATAAACAGCTATTTAATAAATGTGATGTGACTTTACAGGAGAGCTGAATGGCAGAGCTTGTGCAAACATGCACATCACTATGGATCAAATGCTTCCTCAAAGGGTAGGGTAACTAACTGGTCGCGATATTTTTTTCCCCAGGATGGTAGGGGAAGGTTGCGCCTTTTTCGCCTCTGATTGGCTAGAAGGGGTCTCCTCCGATTGGTTAATTGATTTGTGTGTGTGTTGGCTTGGGTAAGTTTAGGAGTAGGGTTAGTGTGTGTGTGTGTCTTTTGGGTTGGTTTAGGAGGAGTAGTGTGTGTGTTGGGTAGGTTTAGGTGTGTGTGTGTCTGTTGGGTAGGTTTAGGAGTAGTGTGTGTGTGTTGGGTAGGTTTAGATGTGTGTTTGTGTGTTGGGTAGGTTTAGATGTGTGTTTGTGTGTTGGGTAGGTTTAGGAGTAATGTGTGTGTGTTGGGTAGGTTTAGATGTGTGTTTGTGTGTTGGGTAGGTTTAGGAGTAGGGTCAAAACAGACTAGACGGGCTTTGCTAGCAGACAGCCTGCCATGAACGTGAGATGACGTTTCACGGCCAAATCAAATAACCAATCGGAGGAGAGCCCTTCTAGCTAATCAGAGGTGAAAAAGGCGGGACCTTCCCCTACCATCCTGGGGAAAAAAAATATCGCCCCCTGGTCAGAGCCTGACTCCACCCACTGGCAATATTAGAAAAATGCTGAAATAGTGGGCAGACCCCAGCAGAGATAGAGGGGACGAAATAGATGCTAAAACACTCTATCCTGATCATTTTCAATACTCGCAATTCCAACTCAACAATTCCTGACTCGCTACAGTGGTTTTGATGAAACAAGCTGTTTTTTTTATACTGCCAAGGCCGTAGCTCGTACCAAGAGCGTGGTGAGCAGAAACGTGTACACGTCACGAAGAACCGCTAACATCCAATAGGAAAATTATACACAAATGTCAAGAAAGTTACTCGAATCAATGACTGGTATTAATAAAGATCCATTCTTACAGATCACTAACTAAAAAAAGTTGGTTTAGGGTTTAGTTACTCTTTAAAGGGGAAATGAAACAGTCAATCAAGTTTACATGATTTACAAGATGGATTTCCACTATAATCAACAATTATATAAGAATCATGACAAATGTAAACATATAAAAGAAAAAAAGAAACAACGCTATATCTTTCGCCGCCAGGGCGCTGCCATTGTGCAGTATTCTAACATGTGACATCACAGGGTTGGTTGGCTTCAGTTAACAGGCTCTGGGCAGTGAATATCCCGACATCAAAGTGTTTACACCACAGTGTTTTGCCCGCGAACAACTAATGTTAGGTAAAGTCATTAGACAAAAAGACGATGTCTAATGTTACATATTGACAAACAGTGTTCACGATGTCTGCCATCATATTCCCGTCTCGTCAACACCATGTAAGTTAGCATGTATTTGTTAAAGGGGAAATGAAAGTCCCTGTTTTTGGGGACAAAAAAGTGTCTCCGCTCTGACATCCTTCAGGGACAGCATTGCCGTTTCCAACACGTCTAAGTTACCTCCCGGCACAGCATGGTAAATGTGCGCGCCGGTGATGCAGAATTGACCACGCAATACATGGTCAAGATCAACCTCTTGACAGGAGATCGACTCTGACAGGGTAAGCCAACACCTGGTTTACAACAGCCACACTGACACCTGGTAGCGTTAACTCGCTCTTCGCCCCAAACCACCACCGGCTGTTCTACACAGCAACATAACTTATCGTACATGGAGTTGACAAGACGGGAATATGACGGCAGACATTGAGAACAATGTTTCAATGTGCAGAGATTGTAAACATTAGACGTCGTCTTTGTCTAATGACTGTACCTAACATTAGTCATTCACGGTCAAAACACTGGTGTAAACACAGTTTGATGTCACGATATTCACTGCTCAGAGCCTGTTAAACTGAAGCCAACCAAACCCGTGACGTCACATGTTAGAATACTGCACAATGGTGGCGAAAGATTTTTCTTTTTTTCTTTTATATGTTTACATTTGTCATGATTCTTGTATAATTGTTGATTATAGTGGAACTCCATCTTGTAAATCATGTAAACTTGATTGACTGTTTCATTTCCCCTTTAACGGCTGTTCTCTCACCACTGTCTTTTATTGAGCTTATTTTGTTGCTGAAAGGAAAGTGCACAGCACATATTTACATATTCATCTAAAGGCCGCTGCTAACAGTATTCCTTTTTTTACCCCTAAGCAAAGAGCGAAAAAGAACTTCGCTGCGAGTATATCAGGGTCTTAAACTAACCCTTGGGGTCATATTACCCCAGTGGTAGGTCAAAAAAATTTAAAAGAAGAACTTAATTTAAAAAATCCATTTATTTCCATAATATGCTAAATTAAAAACATATGACTTGTAAAATGACAAACTAATGTGGGCGTAGTACTTGCCTTCTTCTTCTGTGGTGGATTGCTAGGGTGAGGGGATGTGCTGCTCTCTGAATATCCGCCTCCAAACTGTGTGTCCAAATACAGCGAGAGAGAACCCGAACCCGCCTCCATCAGCGGCCCCTGGCTGCTCATTGTGCTAAAGTCAGAGTCAGCTGTGGAAAAGCCCTCTGATTGTGGGAAGTGTCTGTCACTTACGGGACCAGTGGGTAGACTGGCATTGAGGGGAGAGCAGGTGTAAATGAGGTTAAACTCGGTCCTAAAAGCCTGTTCTCGGGCCTGTGCCTCACTGGCATGCGAAACCAAGGAAGAGTCACATAGAGAGGACACAACAGCTGAGCTGCGGGGAGTCCCACCACCAGATCCATTGAGTGAGTCTTGAGCAGCAACTGAGAAGTCTTCTGACACAGGAGCCGGGCTTCCTCGGCTTGTGGAAAAGTCAGGGAAGGCAGTGACTCGGGAAGTGAAGTCTGGTCGCAAACAGGGCTGAAAAAAATAAAATGAATAAAAAAATTAGGAAAATATTTCATTCTGTTTCAAGTATTCTAATGAAATATTTAACTGGAATTTCAGTCCACGAAATATACCAAGAACGCGAATTATGCGCAAAAGCGCCCACAATTGGATTCCTGACGAATAAGGGAGGTACATGAGCCCAGGTTTACTTGTATAGCGCATTTCCCACATGCCTGTTGTCGTTATCGCTTTAAATTCTCTTATTGTGTTTCTAATGTTTTCAACTACCAGTATTTTACATTACTTCTGAATGAAACAATAAAAGGTAATACACATATGATACACAGTTATTCACCAATACAACTTTTTTTTTTCCCTCTCAAACAATGCAATTTTGACCTGGTGTGTTTTTTCCAGAAAATAAAATGTTAGATACTATGCTTTTTGGAGAAAAAAAAAAAATTAACAATCTACGCAGTTTTCTCAATTTTATTAGTCAAACTACACTTTCTGCACAATTTCATTAGAATCTTAGCATACTGACTCATTTGATGTGTGAACAAAACTTCACTAAACATTTGCAGCGCACCACCTATCCAATAATCGCAAATAAGTGTTTCAACTAGGGAAATAGTCAATAAAACAGCTTGTAGGCTATACAATGTCCATAAACCTATTGGTTAGCTAGAAAAATAACTCCCTTTGCCAAATATATGAAGAGTTCAGATGCAAAAGCCTCTAAATGCCATTTGAAATTTTCTTCTAAAATGACCATTTTTATCAAGCTTGTATATTTAAGTTCAGTAATTTCACTTAAATGACAATTAATAGGTAATCTTCATTGCCATTTAAGTGAAATTACTGAACTTAAATATACAAGCTTGATAAAAATGATCATTTTAGAAGAAAATTTCAAATGGCACTTAGAGGCTTTTGCATCTGAACTCTTCATATACACTATGACATAGGGCTGAGGTAAACGATTATTAACTAAACGATTAGTTAGGCGATTATTTTATCGATTAGTCGACTAATCTAATGACTAATTGGATGACTAATACAGAGAATATTTTTTCTGCTGCTCAATTAATAAAAAACAAAACAATATCTCAAATAAATACTAGCATACTGAATCAAGATACTATAAGCTGGCTAACGTTAGTCTAATGTTATGTATTTGAACACCATCATTATAACTCTACAACCGCCAAAACCGTGTTATTAAAATATTTTTTACAAACATTTTTTATCATAGAGTATGTTTAAATATTAATATCAGCTGAGGAGGGAAACGGAGGCGGAGTTAGTGGTGCGATCGGAGACTGCTACTGATGGAGATGAATCGGGAGAGGTTTCTGCACCTACTGATCAGAGCGCGTGCTGACACGGAGTAAAGCCTTGTTTATACTCGACACGTCCGCACGAGCGCGAACGTGCGCACGGCAAAAATGACGCATTGGGTGCGCAAGACCAGGAAGACTGTGGCTGGCTGTGTGTACGCCTTTTTTTTGTAACAGCGCGTGCGGCGCCGCGTCCGGGAACGACTTCAAGCCGAATCTGCCCGAGCTTGTACGTCTCACCACACGGGCACCCAGTTTGCGCATCTAAATTGCAATTTTTTTTCTTAAGGGTTTGTTTACTGTGTGTGATTCATTTAATGGATAGCACATTCACTTCTAGTTGTCTTCGTCCTCTATTCTGCAATGTTTCGGTCTCCCACGTGAGTGTGGCAAGCTGTACCGCCGGGAACATGCAAAAAATAAAGAAGCAATTTTGACGTTGAATCATTGACGCGCCGCTACAGCACTACTATTACATATTCATTATATTTTTATAACTTGTGGGTGATGTCTTCATTGTTAAATGTATGTTTGGATAAATCTGTCATGAAAACAATTATTCCTTTTTCTTGTTTTTTAAATGTTAATATTACACCAAACAACTGGAGTAGATAACAATTAAGTTATTAAAAAGTTCATTTAAACTTTGTACAACTCGAATTTTCATTTAAGTGCATCCCTACTCTCAGAAATGGCAAAGCCAGACTTCCAAATTTGAACATGCTACATTACAAGTAAGCATTAGCCCTTCCATGTGCATGTAACTTACTTCTGGAGTTAGAGATTCTGATCTGTGCACAGGAGAAGCCTCAGGAGAAGAGATGTTCTGTAAAAAAGAACCAAGTGATTTATATATATATATATATATACCTACAGCAAATCAAAACAAGAGAGAAGTACATTTCATGTGTGTTCACCTCAAACTGTAGAGGTGTATTGCAGCGGCTGGTGGGCCGGGATGTGAGTGGAGAGAACGGAAGCATGGTAGCATTTAGCTTCTCCACTTCCCCTCCTAAATAAAGCGAGCAAGGATTTATGAGTGAATGAAGAGGCGTCATGGGAAGTTCAGAGGGCAGAGGTGGGGTGATGGGGGACAATGGTCGTAACAAGAGTTCAGAGGGTGGAGCTGCAATTTCTGATGGACACTTAAATTTCCTCTTCTTAATGGGTCCTGTCAGCTCTGAACGCGAGGCAATATCAAAAACAGAAAGAAAAAAAAAAACATGAATTAGAACCCAGAATATAATTCACATTCCGCTTTCTCAACAGTGGAGTGAGAGCCATTACCAGGTTTAAGCTGGAGAGAGCTGCTGGTGCTGCTGCTGTTACTTTTGTGGGAAGAATTGGACTCCGTTCCATCCTCCAACAGGCCAGATAACATGCTCTCATCCAGCGCTTGTTTCATCCACCTCTGCTCAGACAGACAGACACAAAGGTATGCAAAGTAGCAACAATAACGTTGAGTCCAGTAAGTCTTTGGTCAATTCAGCTACGTCTAATTCAAGCTATGTCTAAAAAAAAAACAGATATGAGCTGGAGAACTCAACAAATTCATTTTCAGGGGAAACTTGAATGACAAAGCAATTTACTTGATTACAATTTACCTTCTTGCAAGAACCATATGCTGGGTCAATCATAAAGGGTCGCCGGCGTCTTTCAGGGTTAAAGGGGGAACCAAAACGAACATAGTGTTTGGGGGTGGTACAGATGAGAGGTGAATGAGATAGTCCTGGCAGCATGTTGAGGGTTGTGGCCAGAACTGTGGGGTCAGTGGTGATGCGTAAAGGGCGTTCCACAGACTCCTCCACCCGCTCTGGAACCTTGTCATTTAACCACTCGGTCACCAGGTACTTATAAAAGAGAGAGATAATCAAATGTTAAATGACTACATTTACAGCTCTGAAACTTAGCCTGACCACAGTATGAATATAACAATTTTTTAAAAAGACACCATGAAATCAAAATTGCCATATTTTTTTATGTAATATTTGAGCATTTATTATAAATGATTTATCCATTCATCTCATTTTTTTAAACATTCATGTGCCCTAATAATATTTTATCAAATACATTGATATCCCTGATGAAATGTAAACTTTGCTCGATACCAGGCAATAATCCCTCCTTCACAAAGCAACCTGTCACTCACATGAGATCGCAGCAGTGAGCAAATGACAGCAATCCAATGATCCAATCTATTCCTGATGGACAAAATCAAGTCCAGTGCTACATTTGCTGCTATAAATCAAGTCCAGTGCTACATTGCAAACTAGAAGTACTGAAAAAGATGCTTGGGATTTCCCCATTGATAAGACAAGAAGTTTGTAGAGGGGATGGAATGAATAAATAGTGTTAAGGCCTGGACACACCAAGCCGACGGTCGGCCGGCGGGCAATATCAGGTCATTTGAGCGTCGGTCGGCTTAGTTATTTCGGTGTGTTCCACACCATTGGCTGTAGCCGGACACAGTGAGTTTTTTTGGGCCGATTCAGCATGTTGTATCGGTTTCGGGCCGTTGGTGAGAGAGAGTCAGTGCACGAGAATAACAGCAAAAGGGCTGAAAGCAGGCAAATAAGTTACAGATAGAATATGATTTTATAGAATTTAAATTATAATTTTAGATCATCTTTCCAGAGCATTTGAATGCACAAATATATGTTCAAAGTGATAAGAATGATTGATATTGAAAATAGTAAGCAAGCGCTCTTTGTTTCCGGTTTGTACACCTGCACTGGCCGACAAGAGGCGAAATTGTGTCATCATTTACTCACCCTCATGTTGTTCCAAAAGACTATGGTTAATCTTTAAAATACAAATTAATACATTTTTACAGTAGCACCTCAACGCAGTACATGAGATCCACGGGGAGGAGTCGGATCAAGATCCAAGGGGTGGAGATGGGTAGGATTAGGGTTGGGTTTAGGGGTCAGGGGGCGGAGTTGGGTAGGTTTAAGTGTATGTAAGGTGGGAGGAGTTGGATCTGGATCCGACGACTCCCCGTTGATTTCATGTTCCGCAGTGAGAACCATCTCCATTTAAGGAAACCGTCAGGTGCAGTTAACCAAAAGTTAGAAGATCCAAAAAGGTCAAAGCATAAAATTAATCCATATGAATCAAGCGGTTAAATCCATGATATAATCGCTTTATATGGTGAATGGATTTATTTTAGGCTTTTATTTTCATATAAAGCATGATCGACACGCGTATAGAGCATGTCACATATGGTAAACATGGAAGCTCAAACATGATTGTGTGATGCACAAGTTTAATTTTGGTTACTTGGACTTTCAATGGAGGGACAAAAACCTCTCGGGTTTCATTACATTTTTTTAACTTGTATTTCAAAGATTAACCAAAGTCTTATGGGTAGTAACAACATGACAGTGAGTGAATGACTGAATTTTCATTTTGGATGCCTCTAAAGCCACAACACTGCAGTTCTGAACAAGATTTATGAAACCCACACTAGAGTGGCTCAGAAAAACATGACCATTAACCTGTGTAGGATTTAGTGTGTGAAATGATCTCACCTTTTTGGTTTTTGGGTATCTGACATGTGTCTTATTACCCATCCCTGCAGAGGCAGCTCCATAGAGCTCTCCATCTTGAAGAGGGCCATAGTTTGGAGCTCCCTCTCCCTGGCCCTGCTCCCTGAGGGCTGCCCCGGCACTGCCCTCTTCACCCCCCACCAGAACTCCCTCCGCTGCTTGCTGGGAAAGAGCCTGTCGCTGTCTACGAGCACGCTGAGCTGAACTGGAGCGGTACCTGGAGATACGGCTCTTAGGACGTGGTTTGGAACTACGGGCAGGTTGTGGTTTAGGGGCAGGACTGGGTGTAGCAGGGGGCTTCTCCGGGTCAATGTCTGTTGTGTCCTAATGAAGAGACAAGTAAAAGTGTGTATGAACTAGGGGTTTCATCAACTAGTCGACTGTCACAACCACTAGTTGGCGCTGTTGGCCTTAGTCGACTAGTCGGAAACAAAATGATGACATGTATATAGATATATTTTTTTTGTTAACTATCCCTTTAAATACAAGCGGCAGTACTATATACTATAAGCACTATAAGGCGCACCTTCAATGACCTATTTTAGAACATTTTTCAAACGTTTGACTGGGTTTGCATTATGCATCCACTAGATGTGCTAAAGGGAATGCAGCGAGTGCGCGGCGTCGGAGGTGAGGCGTTTATTTAAGCGTGAGCGCGCGGGGCGGGCACGTAACTTACATTCGCAGCCTGCTGACAGCAGTGTCTGTTCGTGTGTGTGTTAGAGAGAGCGCTCGTGAGCGGGAGATATTTTATACGAGGTTGAACTGGCCGTGTGACAAAGCGGGCATAAGATGGACACGAGCGCGAGCAATTGATCCATATATAATGTGCTCCGGATTATAAAGTTTGAGAAAAGGCCGGATTGAGAAAATTAAAGGCTTTTAAGTGCGCTTTACAGTGCGGAAAATACGAGTACTACTCTCGCTTTTAGACCAGCACGCGACGTGTTTAATATAGACGCATATTAGCACCAGATTTTCTCTCAAATGTTTGCTTTCACTTTCTATATGGGGAGGCTGCACTTTAGACATAACCAATTCTGTTTATGTAAAAATTGTGTGTATTTAACAGTATTAGCATAATAAGACTTGAAAGATAACTTAGTCCAGTATTCAGGCGCTGTTTGACAGGCTTCTAATGTCTGTGAGCGTCGGGGATATGCCGCGCACTCAGGAAAACGCACGTTAGAACAGCGCGTGAATTAAATGTTTAACCGGCAAGGCTTATGCAAACAATGAACTTTTGTGAATTGCAGTGTCCCGTACCTATTCCTTAACGTGTGATGTATAGGCTACGTCGCGTTGTACAGTTGAGAGACGCCAGAACTGATAGAATGCACTGTAACACGATACTACTACTACCATATTTCTTCAAAAGCAGATCGTGGAGACATTTACTATTCGTGTTGTCGCACACCCCTAGAATAAACCATTTAACGACTAGTCGACTAGTCGTCGACTGTTATGCAAAACTAGTCGACTAGCAAAAATCAGTAGTTGTGAAACCCCTAGTATGAACACAGCTATTATGAGCAAAAATTGAAAGTAAAAAAAGTAAAAAGTAACTACCACGGTGGCAAAAGAGGTGCGCCGTGTGCTGACTCCTCCAACTGCTCCTGTATTTGGTACACAGTTTCCTGCAGTAAGTGAGGGCACGTCTGCCTCCCCCGCTTCCAGTTTGTTTTCTTCAGCTGTACCCTGCGCTGAACCCTGACCACGTTTTTTTCTCCTCTCAAGGTTCTCGAACATGTGCATTATGGCCTCTGCCTTGCGTTCGTCACGAGACTGAGTGGGGAAAAAGAATGAGTGGTTGATTTGGTGAGTAGGGCCCTATGAAATGTATTTTATCTCTACCCATATTCCTTAAAACCTGTTTACCATTTAAATTTTTCTGAATTCCATTTTAATAGTTCTGACAGTAAAGTCGAAATGAAACTTACAATTTATTAACATCTTGAACATTGAAATTCCATTTTCTTCTTTCAATGTTTTCCATTCTTTTATTTTTCTGGATTGTGTTTTAATGGTTTAATTTATAATAATCAAAAATCATGTCAAATCTATGGATTTCATAAAATGTGTAATAATATAATCATTTATTAAATTGATTAAAATTGGTATTACCATTATTCATCAAAATAATAAGGCTTTTTGAAAAGGTTTTCATGTAAATCAATTCAGAAAAAAACAAACTAATGTATTATGAAAATTGGTGGTAAAACCAATGAAGCCATGAAACATAAACAATCTAATTAATCTTAAAAAAAAGTTAGCAAATGAAACTTTAACAATTCCTTTTATTTTTGGAACAAACTCTTCAAGCATCACTCATGCTTGAGAATGTGTAGTAGATGAAACTGTGCCACATCTTTTTTACCTTTAATGTTCACAGACACTGGTCCACTACAGCATTTTGATTAAGTGTACTGTCCTTATTTTGATATATCCTTCAAAAAAAATGTATTACTGTATTTTGCAATTTCATACGTGTTTTCCACATTTTGGAAATCATAGGGCCCAAGTTGAGACAACAGGATCCGTGTTAGAATTAGACAGTATGTATTGATTCATAACCATAAAGCTTACACGTCTGTTTGGTATTGGCACTCCATTCTCATCTAACTCCTCTCCATTCTCCAACTTCACTCTGTCAATAAGAGCATCCTGTAGCACAAAAACAAGCAAAGCTTCATCATCATGTGCGATAATCATCGTAGTAGACATTGAGAACTGTTATTGCACAAACATGCACCTCTGTATCGCTAACTCCCTGTGTCTCGTTTGCATCTTCCAGCTGGTGGTTGCTCTCGTCGGACACGCCGGTTACGAGCCTGTCCCCTTCCAGCTCTCTGCGTCGGGCTCGTCTTTTCCGTGTTTCTATTCCAGGCAGGGCAAATTGTGAAGACTGAGGAGATGGTAGTTGGATGGGGCAGAGATTGTGTCTCTGCACAGGACAATCCTGATTGCCCTTATGACATGCACAATCTACTTTATAATTACTGTGGGAAGAATCGAAGGAAAAGAGTCAATACAAACAGCACCAAATCGCAGTTTATCTAAGACTCATACTAGATCTTAAGAAACGTATTAGAGTGACTAACCAGCAGCTAAACTCGTAGTCAAACCCGATAGTGACTTCAGAATCTTTTGAGATGTGAGCAACAGCATAGATACACAGGTGAATCATCCCCTCTGCAATCATGTGCCGCACCTGTGTTTAAGCGTGTACAGGACAAAAAGAAACAAATATAATCAGGCTGTCACACAGAAAAGAAACTGTGAACAGAATATGCACTAATACGTGTAGGTGATGCAACTCTACGACATCAGCAGTCATCAGATAACACCGGAGTCATCTCACCTCAGCGTTGGGTGTGCATGATCTTCTGATAAACCGTGCATCATTGCCAAATGTCCGGGCATCCACACACATCTCCACTTCATTAAACTTGGAGTAGAACAGGACAAATGGATATGGCCTGAAGTGGAGTTAATAGAAGGACATAGGAAGGACAGTCAATTTGCAATAAACATTTTACAAATGCACGGTTAAAATCAGATGACATTTTTTTAATATCATTTATAATGTTGAATTATTGAAATGAGATCAAGATGATGTTGATAATATACATAGATACAATCACACAGAAACACTTACTTTTTGAAAAAATGTCCATTGACTTCAAACTGCTGTCTGAGCATGACTTTGCCTCTATATTCAATGATGAGTGTTTCTGGGTCTAAATTCCGTGCAGCTCTGAGAATCTTCCTATGTTTCTGCACACGTGTTACACGCCCCAGCTGTAACTACAAAAGAATTATATATAAAAATAATTATTAAATGAAAAAGAACACAACATTTGGAAACAAGTTTTTAAATCAGTAGAAGTCACTATACAGGGATGCACAGTTAAAATAAATAAAAATTCAGCAACATTATATGTGCCAGACTATCCCAGATTAACAGACTGGTACACATTTGTGGCCTTAAAGGTTCTATATGCAACTTTTTTTTTTTTATAAAATTAATCCTTTTTTTATTGCCTGTGTTTGAAGGGGTTGTAATCACACATTGCAGTGATCCACTTTTCGGGTTTTTCCCATTACCTCTGAAGGCCAATATTCATATTTATATGTGAGGTCTCCGGGTCGGATTTCCTGCGAAACCAATCAGATGTGACGTGCATGCGCGCTCCCGAGCCTCTCTATCCTACAGTCTATGTGCGACCAACGGCACTTCAGCTGACGACATGGAGTCTGATAACCCCCCAAAACGTCCTGCCTCCAGCACAACACAGACTCCAACACAAACTCCACAGAAATATAAAAAACAAAAAAGGTTTTATCTGCTCAAGCTCGTCAGGCAAAACGTGAATCTGATCGGACGAAAACGCGGATCAACATAGTAAACTATAAGTGAAATAGCAAGGTAAACTACATGAAACATGACATGAATACAAAAGAATGTTCCAGGATAACAAAAAGTCGGTGCTTTAGGATGCAACTTATTTTATATACTAAATCTACTGACTAACGTCGTCATCCCACTACCATATTGTTTATACACATTTCCAGACACGTTCAGTACAGTATTGTTACTTCCTACGATCTTACTTGATACACTGAAACTGTTCAGTTTAGTTCACTAACCGTTTTCGTTATCATATTATACATTCATCTATGTTGACATTGCTGATTGACTGTGAAAGATACACGAATAGTTAGGGAAATGGCTCATGTCAGCTAAATGCAGTTTATTGTACCATTATCATGGTACGAGCACAGAGCATTAGTTCAACGTCAAGCTGATAAAAGTAGGCTATTATTGTAACTGCAGTGGGAGTTTACATGAGTTTCCAGCATGTTGTGTGATGATTTCACCGTTGCGTTGAAAGTCTCCCTGTGGCTGGTAGTGAATGCTCGCTCTTGAGATTGAGCACGCACACGAGCACGAGCGCTCTTGTTGCATTCTGAAACATCACCGCTAGAGGTCGCTAAAAATCGCATACAGCACCTTAAACCCTGCTTATCAGTAATACCTCCAAGTTTAAAATGCTCAAGATATGTTTTCCACGAGCTAGTTGTTTTCCACTAGCAGACTAGTTCCAGTCATTCAATTTGATCGGCTAAGTATCAGTTCCAACCAGTGCCGATATAAGAGTCCAACAGCTCTGGGACTTTTGACTGAGTTCCAGACAAGCTGTCAGTCTGTCCATTAATGGTGGCCATATGTCAGTGAGCCTTTCTGCAGGTTACATTGTTACACCAGTAGGTGCTGACTACCTATCTTTATTAGCAAACACAGACTCAATTGCTTTATTCAACACACCATCATGTTGCGTTGCTCATGCATTGGGATTGTTTGGAAACATTTTCACTAAATGTTGGAGTCTAAAATGCATTTTACTCCGTGTATACTTGTTATTTTGTTATAATTGTGTAAAAACAAAATATTACACTCAATGGTTACAAATTTTACTATGAAATGAACATGGAGTGGGGTTTCTGTAGTAGAGAGTGTGGAACCAGAATGGGGAACAAAATGTGCAATGGAGATCAAATTTTGCGATTACAGAACACTTTGAGCAGGTTAAATATGGAGTACTGCAAGGTTCAGTACTAGGACCATTGCTTTTAACCCTGTACATCTTGTTTGATTTAGTCCTCAGATGCAAGTCGCTTTGGATAAAAGCTTCTGCTAAATGACTAAATGTACATGCTAGACCTTGAGAGATAACATTAGGAAGCATTGCACATTCGTTTTCACTGTTATGGTGATGATACTCGGCTCTACATTTCTTCACACTCCGACGAAACTTACCAATTTACAAAATTAATGGAATACATAGTTGATTTGAAAAAATTGGATGGCTAGTTATTTCCCACAACTTAATACAGATAAAAAGGTTTTATTTATTGGACCAAAAACCTTAACAACATTATGACCTAGAATGCTGTCCAACACTTTATGGCTGCTCTGTCAAGTCTTCATTGCCAGTTAGGAACTTGGGCGTGCTCTAATCTAAATTACAACATATGCTCTCAATGACAAATGCAAAAAGGATATTAGACCGGTTCTATCAACCCTGCATTGGCTAGCTTTTAAACATTGCATGGTTTAGCTCCTCAATACTTGAGTGAGCTCTTAATGCATTTTAGTCCTTCACATCTATTGTGATATCAAAAGTCTGGCCATTTGATACTGCCTATAATAATAAAATCAACTGCAGGCAGCAGCTCTTCCTATTCATCACCAAAACTTACTTAGTCTTCTAAGCTTTTTTCAGAAAACAGACACAGTGTCAATGTAAATCTAAAAACGCATCTCTTTAACCTAGCATACACAACACGTCATCACATTTCTATAATTCACATCCGTTAAAAGATTGTTAGGCAGCATATATTAGTTCAACCATAACCGGGAACACTTCCAATAAAATCTTGTTACATGTTACATTGTAAAAAGAATAACCTCTACGCTAATATTAGTCTGTTTATCCCGAGGTTACCGTAGTCAGTCGTATCGTGTCTGTATCCAGATCAGATGGTGGACCTGCACCTACACATGACCAAAACGCAGCCCTGAATGCAAACTAGACAATCCCCTGTGAAGGCCTTGTCGATATGACCGCCATCAGGTCTGGTTTCTCCAAAGTTTTCCTTTTCCATTCTGTCAATTGATGGAGTTTGGGTTCCTTGCCTCTGGCTTGCTTAGTTGGTACTTGCTTAGTGTGACGAAATCTCGCAAGATTAAAATGTGTCAAGATTTCTCGTCAAGGTGAAAAGCCGTCTAGTGATATTGCCATGACAAGAGTGTGAGGGTGAAGTTAGGATAAAATATGCTACGTAGTTCCATCCAGCTCATCCAAGATGAGCCGCAGAGTCGTATGTAATGCAGCAGGATTCAAAGGATTCGTTGCACAACAGAGCCTAGCGCCCGTTTCACACATACTCCGCTTGCAGTGCGTATGCGGTCCATATTTTTTTCCCGTACCCATGTTAACAGGTTAGAGCTTTCACACTGCACGCGGATGCAGTCCGTCGATCCGTTCCAGGTACGGTGCGTAAACAGCAGTGTAGAGATCGTTTCCGCACAGAGTCTATTTCGGCTGTGCTGCAAACGCTGAATGAAAGTGACCGTGCACGGTTCGTCGTCAAAATGAACAAAGATTGACCTGAAAATGTAGTTGTTTCACCATAATGCATTTAATTAAATATAATGTAGTAATCTCACCATAGATGTGTTTAATTAAACACTACTTTTCATCTTTTTACTTTAAGACCAGGGTTTTAAGCAAGGAAAACTACAATTTACCTCAACAATGACATATTGTCTAATGCACAAAATTGGCTGTTTTAGTCAATTTTAAGTTTTAATTTAAAATGTTTTTGATTTTAATATAGGCTAAGTACATGGTTAAATATTTGATCACTTGCTTGAGAAACTTCATATATAGAAGTAATACATGGAATTATAGTCCTACGTTGTTATTATTGTGTTTAAAGGGGTGATGAACTGAGAAATAAAATTTTCCTTGAGCTTTTGACCTCTAAGAGGTCATCATATTATAAGAATATCCTGTAAGTTTCAGAACTGAAAACGTCCTTGTTAGTCCAATAAAAGCTTTTATTGACACCAGCCTCTGAAAACGACTCGTTTTTAAAAGTGGGGAACTATGACGTCGAAGGGGTTAAAACACCACCCCCGCAGAAGAAGATCAACTCCTACTTCAACACGGCCGGTTTAGCCCCGCCTGCCGATTCGCGCATTACACGCATAGCTAAGTAGCCTAACAACTTACATGCCTACCTCGTGATGACAAACCGGATCGAGCTACCGAGCAATACAGAATATTGTGCAGTGCCTGGTTGTTGAAGACAGTCGCTGCATAAGCTTCCTCTAGATTCCAATAGGACTGCATGGATAAACTATATTTTTAATGACGTTCCAGCTGATGAGGGTCGTCTGTTCGCTTCATTTCACTGAGGATTGTTTTGTAAACAAGACTGGATTTGCAGACCGATTAAGAGTAAAGAACGTGCTGTGCCGTCTATATTGGATCTGACAGGAATTGTGCAACACACGGACTCTGGGTCGAACATGTATGGGCGAATCCGGTTGCCATTTGACAACATTGGACGTTTTCCCCCACGTACACCGACGGGTGAGTTAAACTCATTATAATATGCAAAACTGTTATCCACTCACAGCAGTGGGCGTTTATTTCCAAGTCTTCAGTGCGACACGCCCATAAAAACCGACCGTTTTCAGGAAGGCTCACAACTTGGGTACGAAATAGCCTATTACTTATTCATTTTGATGTTTTTGAATGTAAAAACCAAGCGAACGTCATAAATTGACCTTAGACAACAATATAATAAAATTTAAAAAGCCAGTTCATGACCCTTTAAACATGCATATGTCCATTTAAGTTAGTAAAAGTGTACAAAGAGAATCGGCAATGCTGACAAAACTTTTTTTTTATAAACAAAAGTAGCTGCATAACTTCTTAATTTGAAATAAAAATAGTGAGTAGCCCTATGTGTTTGAGCTATAGCCGCGGATCAGTAACGCACTGCAAACGCAGTATATAGCGCGTGCTGCTCCTGTACCGAATACGCACTGCAAAAGGCACCGCATACACACTGCACACGGACTCCGGAGTATGCGTGAAACAGGCATACGTGTCTGTCAAATGTCTTATCTTGTAGAATCCGTATTCAGCACTGCCACTCCCTATTCACAGAATACACACGATCGCGAAAGCGCAAATAAAACGCGAGCATGCATTCAAACGCAATTTCAATACCCTGCTCATCTCGACCTCGTAAACCCAATCTCATGAGTAAACGGTCTCGTTAAACCCCTATGAGTTGGGGACGCTTGAGATTCAACGATATTTATTGATTTGACTGCACTGACAGTATTGGACAAGAATTCAATTGAGCTGTACGATGAAATCACTGTGTTCAGCAGATCTGCTTTATAGAAGTAGTTTAATAATTGATGATCTTTTCAATGGAACCGAATCAACACTAAACTGACCTCAGCTGAACAATGACACTATTTTCTGTACAGCCCAAATGAACTGTTTGCATTATTGAATCCTTTTCGTGTTATGAATGTAAATATGCTTTGAAACAATCTGCATGATATAAAGTGCAATATAAATAAAAGGTAATAAAATTAGCTGTCACTACATTCTTTGCCAAAAGCCATGAATCATCTTAATTGACTCTAGTTTGTTCCTGCCCAAATTTAAGGTGTTTGAAAACGGACGTTATTTGTGTATCCTATTTATGATATTGATGACTTGACACAGTCTTAAAACCTCAAGACGATCCACGAAAACCCATCTATACCTGCATTTGTGAGCCCAACACAGTGTTGTTGCAAGCCAGTTCTGTTCGATTAATGGTGTCCATGGCGACAGTAGACGGGGATGGGGACGAGTTGCCATTGGCACAGTAGTGTTCGAGGAGGGTCTGTACGTCAGCACTGTACTGGTTAACGAGAGCTTCCTCATACTGATCAGTCCACTGCCGAATTCGTGTCTCCCATCCTTCTGTTGTGTTCTCATCCAGAACACTGGCCTCAGACGCAGAGTTCTGCAACAATCAGAGGATAAATTAGATTAAAGATTAATCAGATAACAAATGGAGGAAGAGGAGGATTTCAGTCTTTGACTATTTACAAGACTATCTTAACTATTGCAGCCATTAAAAATACATTAACATAAGCCTGCACATAACATGACAGAATTGCCACATTGTTTTATGTCAAGATTTCTAGAAAACATGTTAACCCACTTGCAGATGTTGCACTGAATTGCACTGAAAAAAAAAAAAAATCTGGTAATGAGAAGGGACAGTTCACCCAAAAATGAAAATTATGTCAATCACTCACCCTCACGTCCTTCCAAACCCAAGACAAAGACTTTCAATCATATTTTTGATGAAATCTGAAAGCTTTTTGTCTCTCTATAGACAGCTATGAAACTACCACTTTGACACTTCAAAAAGTTCATGAAGAGACCATCAAACCATGGTAAGGGAAGGTCAACTTTATTAATTTGTTTCACACCAAGTAGTAAACCATACAATCAACAAAACAAACACAACACCCCAACACATATACACACACAGACAAAAAAAAGATTTCCATAAATAGATTACCTAGAACAATTTTAAAAACCAATGGCAGCTGGTACAAAATTTTTAAATCGATTTGTCTGACAAAATGGAAGATAATATCTCGAGTAGAGGTTTATACCAAATGTTATGAAGAGATATGACGGACACATTTAAATCTGCAGTCCGTAGCTTTTTTGGGGTTAAAAATTATCCAAAATAGATATGAGAAAATACATAACCAGCCAAGTGTTCAAAACTCACTGCTTGGCTTAGCTCAATTCAAAGCAGTAAGCTTGAAAGACTGTTTTTAAATCCAGTGGTACTGGTGGATTTCCGCAGGAGATTTGAGCATGTCTTTGCGTCATTACGTGTGTACACAAAGTTTCGACTAGTAGACTACATTGGCTGTGAGGGTGCTGGAAGTGGAGATTTATAGCCTTTTATAGCATTCACTTGATATAATTAAACTTATCAATTTGATGGCAGATCCAGAAAGGTTCAAACGATAATCACCAATGACAACAGATTCACCCGATGAAAAATGCAAAAGACTTTGTTCTGACTTCGGAGTGGCTACAGTAATAAAGAGACTGCAACCGGCACATGCGAAAACAAGGAAATTACATGTCATTGACAATTTAAGAAAGTATAATTTGCACGGTTTTGCATGATACGATAAGCGATTGTTAGATTTAATCAGTGCGATTTACTGCAATGTCAGAACCAGAACAAAGGTGGATGTTGCTTACATATAATCTGTGATTCTGAATGTCAGTATCCACACCGGCGCCGTGACAGACAGCTGCACACTCTCCTCAAACACTGTTAATCCGCACTGTGTCGTGTCGAATTACAACTCACATAAAGTTGATAATTCCATGAATAACTGCAATTCCAGATTTCGAACAGAGATGGCGACAAAAGAGGAAAAACTGCGGACTGCAGCTTTAATTTAGGCCTTTATTCACAAATAAACATTGATTGGTGAACAGACAAGCTCATGCAAAACTGCTTGAAATGCGATAACAAACCTCTTGCGGAGGCTTAAAATGACACACGAGAATAAACTTCATTCACAGCTTGAGCTTCCGTTGGGTTAACACAACTGATGTGTGTGTTGATTGTTTACATGAGAATAAAAGCTGAATGAATCTGTTCATCATATAAAGCAATCATGTCTCTACAGGAAATTTTAGACTAAACTCAATTCATATGGATTAGTTTTACAATCTCTTTATGACCTTTTGAAGAGTCAAAGTGATTAATTCTGAGAGCTTTCCGTCCCTCCATAAACACAGAATTAATCGTCATTTGTCTTACAGGTTTGGAACGCCATGAGGGCGAGTAATTAATGAAAGAATTTTCGTTTTTGGGTAAACTATACCTTTAATGAGTCACCAAGCAAACGATCTTCAAAGGAGATCCAGACACACAAGTCAACAAACTGAACTGCTCTTCCCAGTTTAAGACAATGTCTTTAATTGTACATATTACATACAATAATATTTCCTAAGAAGATATAGAGGTGGATCATTAGATAACACTGCATATTTGAGTCCATACCTTCATCCTCATGGATTTTCTGGAACCCTCTCTGTAAGCCTGTAATGAGAACATACATTTTTATTTTATTCATTATCCTATAATACAGATGATGGGAATGCTCTGACAGATGTGGCAATTAGTCAGTTACTGACTTTTCAGATTCGTCATTTTTTGTAGGCAGCATTGTGTGTGTATTTGTTGTTCTACCTTAACTTTCTTGGCTTTAGGGGTAGTGCGCGTTTTCTCTGTGCTCTTCTTTCTCTTCTTAACTTTGTTATGTTTGACTCTTTTGACAGTGAGAGTGATGCTAGTGGGTGTGTGTTGGGTGGCTGTGTATGACACAGCAGAGGCTGACATGTCCTCATCTCCACTCTCTGTAGCACTGCTCTCGCCCACTGTAAAGGAAGAAGCACATAAGAGAGCAGATACATGTAGAGCAGTGATGCGCGGGTTGATCCGAAATGAGCGGGTGCCTGCGGTCACCCGCGGTTACGGGTCATCCAAAAATGTTTTTAATGATATTCGGGTCGTGGTCGGTCGGGTCGTTTGAAAAAAAGATGCCAATTAAACATTTGTATTAATATAGTACTAGACACAATTTTGATGAAATATACAGCCCTACACATTATTGGCTGAATAACTGGCACGAAGATAACACACAAGCTCAGTCTAAACAGTTCTCGGTTCTATGATTCGAACCGCTTCCCTGTGCGGTCGGTATAGTATCAGCTGCTCGTGCTCATCACTTCTTTCAACAGTGGCACCAACATGTCTCGGTTCAGTGAACTGTTGGAGTTACTGGAGTAAAATGTAATTCAGGATATTGATTTATTTCGATTCGTAGGCGACTGTCAGGCATGTCTGAAAGTGAGTAACTTTAGTAACTTGTGGATCAGCACTGACGCAAGACGCGAACTGTTTCGAACGATTCAGTTCGATTTAGTGTACTGGTTCGACCGGTTCACTAAAAAGAACCGGCCATGTCTACAGTCTGCAGAGAGATGAAGGCGGCAAGAGAAAAGGTGAAGACTGGGGAGTGGAAGCTCCGCAAATACACAAATAGAAAGAGTAAAAGTGTGGGAGACATTTGCTGAAATAATGAAAGATGATGACCAAAGTGCTGGCTTTGCCTTTGTTATGTGTAGGCCTACGTCTTCTTGCGATGCTGTGTTGTTACACGTCTACGGCCCAATAACGCTCCGATGAGCATTTACTACTTTTAGAAAATGCGGTCAGGAAGCGGGTCGGGTACAATATTTTTTTTACTATTTTTTGCGGCCCGAGTTGCGGGCGGGTAGCTGAAAACAACGGTCGGTTGCAGGTTGTTTATACATTGACCCGCGCATCACTGATGTAGAGATATAAAAGAGAAATACCCAGAAAAACCCTTAAACTTCACTCCACATTTTGTCAGAAATGTCAAAATAGAGAAGTGAGACTTTTAAATTTTATTTCCATACTAAATTACATTCATCTGTTCAGCTGTAATTGTAATGATATTTGGTACTACTCAATTTTCAACAATATTATATTGATTTGATAGCACAAACACTATAGACTGAGAATTGAAATGAGCTGGATGATGACATCACTGTTTTCTGCAGAGCTGCTTTATAGCTGAATCAAACTAATTGATGATCCTCACAACAGAACTGAAGAACTGACTTCAGCTGAATAATGACACTCTTTTTAGAGCTGCTTCACAGCAGAATTGAACTCTGCATATTTTTTTTTTAGTAAATCACTGTAAAGCTGCTTTAAAAAAGTCTGTATTGTAAAAAGCGTTATGGAAATAAAAGTGACATGACTTATTCGCTATTATCAGTGTTGATTAGTGACGGACAGTTGTTTTCAGGATAATGTATGGTTGATTGAAAATGCATCCTATATGAAATAAAAGGATTAGTTCACTTAAAAATGAAAATTCTGTCGTCATTTACTCACCTTCAAGTTGTTCCAAACCAGTGTAAATTTCTCTCTTCTGTTGAACACAAAGGAAGGGATTTCGAAGAATATCTGTAACCAGACAGTTGACCGACCCCACTGACTTCCATAGCATTTTTTTCCTATTCTTGAAGTCAATGGGGTCCATCAACTGTCTGGTTACTGACATCCTTCAAAATATCTTTCTCTGTATTCAACAGTGGAAAGAAATTCACACAGGTTTGAAACAACTTGATGGTGAGTAAAATAACAGAATTTTCATTTTTAGGTGAACTACTCCTTTAAACAAACACACTAATTTTCACAAATATATGGTAAATTAAAGCTATATAATATACTATGGAAATAATGTCTATAAAAATATGTAAAATGTTTTAATAGGCATTGACATTTGTTTGTGGTGTTAGGTTGTATATTGTGCGTTGGCCACTACTTATAACATCCTGGGAAGGTCAGTTGCAGCACATCTCAATTCTCACAAGGATGCGTTCCGTCCTTCCGAGTTTGTTCTTTCAAGGTAGCCTGGCATGGCCGATTTCCACTAGAACGTGAGTCCATTCTTTGTGTTCTTGGAATTGAGAAACAGCCACTTTTACCTGAAAAATTCTCTCCTTTTCTGCGTTGCCCGTCTATCCCTTTCTTCTTCTCCAGACCCCTGCAATAAGAACACATTCAGTACAGATTCTCCATCCATTAGATCAATAACTAATTGCCATGATTCGCAGTGAAGTTATTGGCCACTGTTCTTATGAGACCAATAACTGCCATGATGATTCAGCCCATTTACATTTACACATAGCTGATTTAAAGCCTAGACATTTAAGACCGGGCACAAATGTGAAGATGTAAAAAATGAAACCATGGACCTCTGCAAATGTTCCAAAATATACAGAAAGTTTCAAGTCCAATAAAGTGATTAAAGTTTTTGTCATTGGTAATTTATTTGTTTTTAAGGTGGAAAAAGCCTCATCAACCAATAAGATATAAGCTTAGGGGAACATGTTGACTTATAATCAAGCCATCACAACATTTTCCCAACATATCGAATATATTTGAGAAATGTACTGTGCTTTGCATTAAATTAAGTGGAATACGCATTTTCATATGGGGTGAAGTCATATGTTCATGAGTGAAGTGGACTGTACTTTTCTCAGGTATGTAAACTGTTCTAAAAAAAGGGGGTGACAAAAAAAGTCTGTAAATAGTTGATGAAAAAATGCCCTTTACAGATACCACTAAAGCACAGTTCCATCTTAAATACAAATCACCTACCTGCAATTCTCACACTTAATGAGGAAGCCATCCTGCATTAGACGGCACTGACACCAGGGAGGTGGAACTGCGCCCTCCACAACCTCCTCCTCCGATGAACTCTCGCTGTCGGCAGAGTTGTCTGGTTCATCGGTGGGCAAACAGGGTCGTGATCGTCCCAGAGTGCCATTGCGTTCCGTGTGGGAGAAAATGGTCTGGGAGAGTGGGGAGGCAGGAGGGGTGGGAGGGGGTGGAGCTCCATAGTTATGATCCTGACAACACACAACGGAAGACTGTTGCATCTTCAAACAACGGTGTTCAGGCACAACAAAAGAGTAAAGGAAAGGGGGGGGGGGATGAAAGGTGGGGAGCAGGGAAAAGGGGCAGGAAGAAAGAAGAGGTGGGAATGAAAAACAAAAAACAAAAAAGTTGCATTCTAAAGTAAACAGTATTTAATGTTGCCAAGAATGTATGGGCTAAACTTTCTTAAACTGAAACCATAAAAAACGAAAGGAACTTTAAGTAAACTTGATTTTTGAAAAAGTGACGAACACTACTAAAAATATTGTAGGATCCTGCATAAGACAGACTCCTTGAGATGTTCCTCATTTGTGAGTTGCGTTGGATAAAAGCATCTGATAAATTAAAATTCAAATATAATACCTGTCCAGGATGGTTTGTAGTAATGTTAAAGAAAGAGGTATTGAGGTAATGAGTTTGTGGCTATGGGTGTTATACAATAAACACTTTTCATTATAAATGCATGATTCAGTTTAATTATGTGCACAAAACAAAAGTAGCATTATGCAAGAGTTTTTTTTTTTTTAATATGATTCAGCTCTATGCATTACTTAGGTGCTATTAGGTTACATCAGTGGTTCTCAAAGTGTGGGGCACACCCAGCAGGGGAAAACAAAACTAAAAACTGAAAAGCCGCTGCAACAGCGTTTAAGAGCATGAATAGTGGTTGCTGCTCTGCTTCAAAGTCCTTTTAGGCAAGTCCTGCCACTTGGCCACCATCTTGGCAACGCCTCAGACAGCTATTTCGGACTGACAAGACCAGGTTCCTATCTAAATGAATGGGCAGAGAGTCAGAACTGCATTTTCACTGGTCTATGTATAGAAACAGCAGTAAAATATGATAAAAATCGCTGAAAAAGTTTGATGACTTTGCCCCAAAATAAGGTTTAAAATGCCCTTTCCACACAGGTTATATTTTTATACGGTTCTCATCTCCGCTGTCGCAGACATCAACTGTGCGCATGCGTCAGTGGAACCAGACGATAGGCTTAAATATTTCCCGGCTTTACTGTTAAAATCAGATGATTGGCTTTCCAGGGGGAGGGACGGGGCATGTGCATACAACCGCCATCTTTAGCGTTACGGGTTTTCCCTATATAGTTGTATTGAGGATTTAGGAAGTGGCATGTCTCTATATAAATTGTCTCTGTCTGCTTTTATAAAGTGGAATTGGAATTGGTGTTTTCAATTCAGTGGAATTGAAAACACCAATTCCACTGAATCGTTCTTTAGAGCTCTTCAGTGGACAGCATAACAAGCTGCTATTACAAACACACTGCTCTGCTGCCATGTTTTCAGTGGAGAAGACAAAAGAAGCTGAGCTTGTGAGCCACTGATTATATACCGTATTTTCCGCACTATAAGGCGCACCGGATTATAAGGCGCACCTTCAATGAATGATCTATTTTAGAACATTTTTCATATATAGGCCGCACCAGATTATAAGGCACATAGATACTACAGTCAAACGTTTGACTGGTTTTGCGTTATGCATCCAAGATGTGCTAAAGGGAATGTAGCGAGTGCGCGGCGCCGGAGGTGAGGTGTTTATTTAGAAAGCGTGAGCGCGCTGGGGCGGGCACTTATCTTTTACATTTGCAGCCTGACTCATATGTGTATTCAATGTGCGCCGGCTCGCTGACAGCAACAGCTGGCTGTTTTGAATGAGACGACCCGGTGACTGTGAACGGGAGCGCTTTTTGAACATTTTGTGACGTGCGAGCAGCGTCGGGGACAGTGTGTCTGTTCGTGTGTCTGTTAGTAAGAGTGAGCGCTCATGAGCGGGCCACGTGATTTACACACATAATCTGATTTATACGAGGTTGAACTGGCTGTGTAACAAAGATGGACACAAGCGCGAGTTCGCGGGTGAATTTAATAACGCGGAGCGTTGTTAACCAATTGATCCATATATAAGGCGCTCCGGATAAGGCCCACTGTCGTTTTTTGAGAAAATTAAAGGCTTTTAAGTGCACCTTATAGTGGGGAAAATATGGTATTGTTCTTCCAAAGAATTAATGAAACATTTACATTTATTCTTTATTTAAATTCAAATGCATGTTCTGCACTATTTTTCTCTCACTGTATTTTTCAATGATATTACAAAATTAAACTATTGCAGGTGTTACTGTTTTAATTGCACATTTTTAATTTAAAATGTTTGTTTTTTTTTTCATTTGATTGTTTTTTAGAGAAATTATGCATGTCAGAGACGGAGCCTGATTAAAAAAAATGGAGGGTTTGGTGGTCACCAAACAAGTTTGAGAACCACTGGGTTACAAATTGATGCTAAAATGACAAATTGATGCTAAAATGACAATAACTCATAATATAGCTATACTCCATCCTCTATATTATAGGCTAATCTGTTAAAATACAAATAAAGAATAAAAAGAACTTACAGCATAGGGCAGGCCACCATATCCATGATTCTGTGTGTTCCCACAGCTGCGACTTGAGTAATTTTTCTCGTTTACTGCTGGGCTTGCTTCAACTGACTCAGGACTGAGAGAAAGAGAGATTTTTTTAAATGATTGGAAATAAATCGCTAGTTAGTTACACAAGTAACAGTGGTTCTGTAAACTCCAGATGACCACAAGAGGCAGTGTTTGGCGCTGCAATGATCCACTAGTGCTAATCAGATGGGCAGAAATAGGCTTGTCATTTTAAAAATGACAAAGATCTATGCCAGTCCCTTAATTTCAGTTTTCAATTAAGAGAACCACTACTGTTGTTTCATTCCTCCTGACCACCAGAGGCAGTTCTAAGCACTAGTAGATGACCCATAACAACACAGACACAAGGATCACTTCTCAACTGAAAAGTAGTTAAGATCCACTATAGTGATCTGCAGAACTGAACATGTTGAACTGAAAGAGTAAAAATGAAATGGTGGAAGGAGAAACCCAGTCGCCAAAAAAACGAGACGGTTCTAGTAGAACGACAAGTGATAGCACTAGGTATGGCCACCGGGCCTTCCTCCAGATTAGAGTGATCACCACTTCAAGACGTGGTTTGAGACACATTCCAAATGAATCTGGACAAGTGTAAATGTATCTGGTTGTTGAAATCACATGTAAATTTGACTCCTCCCAAAATGGTAAAAAATAAACCTTTAAGAGTGTTAGGCTACCGGGAGATACACTGATATGGACAGCGCTACACACAGCAACACACGTCGCCACATTTACAGAATGCCACGGAAGAGTGAGTATCTTTTCAGCAAACCAACGTGCAAACTGTCGAAAATGAAACAAGGCTGAGTGTCGCATCCTGAAGCTTAACGCACAATTACCATTAAAGGTAGTGAGACTTAATTTATCTTGCACTCGCAATTTGAACTCCGTGTCTTGATTTTTGTCTGCTATATTTACTTTTTATTTGTTAAATCTTGGTAATTTGTAGATGAAACGTTGATTAAAATCAAGATACAATTAATGCAAAATTAAATTAACTTTAAATAAAGGCTCAGTGCTTTCTGTTTGAGGTCTCTGTGAAAGTTTTAAACTAGTCTTTGGGTGCCGCTTTCAGGGAACAGTCAGTCACATCTGTAACATTGTTTTTTCCTCATAAATCTGGTGGGTAGTATTACTTTGGGATTACGCAGTGTAATTCACAAATTTCACAGAATTACTAAAAAATATTTTGCCACCAAAAAGTTAATGATTTTTTGTGTCCCTCATGAGTATTTCCCTCCTATCAAATATAAAATGCATGTGTTATATTTTTCTAATGTCTGAACTATTTTATTAATGGAGTATGATATATAAACAGAGGTTTCAATAGCCTAAATGGATTTTCTGAGAATTTATATTTGTCACGTCCATAACACTGGAATCGCCCAATTTTAAATAATTTATCCTCAAATAGTTTTGTGGTGTAAGTCTACGAATTTTATAAATTTAACTTTAAAAAAAATACTAATAGTAAAGATATGGTAGCTATATTGGATCTGGACGGGAAGGATATCTCAGGGAGTTGGAAGGGGTGTGTCATGATTCTGCCTTCCCTCACTGCGACACAGGTTCGTGGATATGAGTATCGTGATTTCGCTTTTAATTAACATGATCCTTCTTTATTATTATTTAGGAGCAAATGAGGGTCTCTGTTTAAAGAAACGCCGGCTTGCAGCTGCAGTCCAGAGCACCGCAGCGCATATCTTCAAGTTAAGTAGTAACCGAAAGTCCAGTTTAACTGCCACAAGTTGAATGTAAAACAGAAATAATAATAGAATACTATACTAGGGTGATCATATTCATGTCTCAATGTTTTATTATGACAGATAAAAAAACGAATGAAATGATGATAGAAATAATGTCTTCTGTAGAAAAATAAATACATAAATAATAAATAACTAAAAAAAATGCCTCCAAATGTAACAAAAAATAGCTCTCACAAACTTACAAAAACGAACTAACAAAATCTATTTATATCTTTAGTTTTCATCCTCTTTATCTTGTTTTTCTTCCTCATTCACCTTGTTTGCCCATCTATATTTTGCTGTAGAGAAATGATCTTTACCAGCAGTTTTTTTGAAAACCAGGACATTTTCATCACTTAAAAACAGTCATGACAGGACATGTGTAACGCAAAGTTAAGATGTTGCCCAGAGATAAAAACATAGCAGTTGTCGGATGAACAGATGCACGAGAGACGAGAGTTGTCGTATTTCCCCGCGTTTAATAAAACCACTCAAACGTTACACTCGTCCTCATACATGGTATCGAGCGAGAAAAAAAACACAAACAAAGATCTGTTCACAATAGAAAAATAAAATAAAAGAAAGAATACAAAGAGTCGGCAGAGCGGTTATCTATCTCCTCTCCTCACTTGTCAAAATCTAACTGACACTACGCACACTATGCGCAGTTCTCATCTCAACTCTGATTTCAATAAAGCACAGTGACCGTTTTACACATGTCCCGGGAAAACAGGACTGGTCACCCTATACTATACTATTATTACAGAAATACTAATATAAATATTATCATTTAGCTCTTTATGCTCCGAGACCAGCAGCTCATCATCTTGCCCATAGGTATCTTATCTCTTCTTCGCCGTATGTGTGCTCGGCAAGACCGTTTTGTGTTTGAGCGCCCCCAAGTTGTGTTTTACTGAAACTTCAGAAGTACCAGACACGTGAGCAAACCCGCCAATCTCGTTGGTCGGATTGGTTTTGACGCGGCGCGTCAAACCAAAAAAACGAACCCGAGGCGTTTTTTTAAAAATTACGCTTTTACGCGTGGCGTTTTTCGCGTCGGTGTGAACACTCACATTGGCGCCCATTGTTTAGTCACGAGGCGTTAAACGTCGACGAATATCGCGCGTGAAATTCGTCCCGGTGTGAACAGGCCTTTAGTGTGTATCTCTAGTTGAAACATTAAGTATCTGTAGTTAGTTAGTTAGTTAGTTAAGCTTTATTTGCCATTTGTACCGGTACAGCTATACAGGTGCATAGGAATTTTTGTAGCAGAGCTCGTTGAATCAAACATAAAAGATAAACATTAAAACAGCTAACAAACTACACAGCACACACAATGGACTTTAAGAAATCAAGACTTAAAAAATACGTTCAACGTCAATGACGAGCATCTTAACCCCATGTTAAGCAACCCCCCACCCCTACAATTGTTACTTTAAGATTACATTTAAGATTGCTCCACGCTAAACAAAAAGAATATTGCACTGTCCCAAGATACTACATAATATAAATATTTAAAAACAAACTTACTATAATAAGTCTTATCTATAATAAATATACTCTTACCCTTATCTATACTCTTACTATAATAAATAACACCTGTCATTTTACAAAAAATGAGGCAGACACATTCGTTCCTTCTGCCATGTCCTTCGCCATCAGTCTCACAGTAGCTGGAAAGAAGCTGTTATAGAACCGCACCCTGTGTGAAATAATACTGTCCGGTCTATTATATCTCAAGTTGTATATTGAGTGTTTAGGTTTACTTGAAACATTAATGACATGGTTTTGTTCCCTACAGTTCAAATGGTAGCAAAGCACAAAAAACAAAGATAGCTGGTAATATCTTATGTTTAAATTGTTTAATGGAAAAAAAAAATGGAGGATGTAGTAAAACAATGAAGTCTGCACATTGCCCAGCTAACAAGCAAGACAAAATTAGTAATTCTATTTCTCTCAATTTAAACAAATTATTTTGCTTTTGTCCACTGTATATTTCACATTTCTCTCTGAGTGAAACAGATCCACTCACTTAACCAAGGTGAAACAATTATTCAATTTGAAATGTAATAAGCTAAATGACAATGCAATATGTAAAATGGCATTGCATTTTGTATTTAAATTTACATTTTTAATTACCATTCTAGCAATGTTTGGTGCAAAAGGAAAATGAAATGACATAATTTACATTTGCAATTTCATACACTCGTTTTAATATGCATAATTGAAACGCTTTATATGTGGCAAAATGAAAATGCATTACAGAAATGATTAGATATGTGTAACATGTTCAAGCAAAAACTGTGGCAAAATTATCACTCAAATGCTATTTTTATTAATTGCATTTACACTCACAGTCAAGACACTCGCGATTGCATTTTCACGAAATGCCCCGCAATTGATGAAGCAAAATTCAATGTGCACATTGAAAATGCAATCCGAGCCGACCACGCCCCCTCCTGGCCTGTCAATCACTGCATCAAGGCGGGCCTCGGCAACAACAGGTAAACACAGCATATGGCTATATTACGTGTTTTGAGCTGTTGAAAAAAATTGCTGTGGCAGAGCTAATACGAGCATTAAATCATTTAGCAGATAAAGTGGAGCGTAAACAGAGAAAAGGTAGTATTTCCGAAGATTATTACGTGTATGTAGGTGATAGAACAGTACGTTGTTGGAACGTCTGGGAGAATTTTCTGCCTTATTAGGCGCCGACACCCGTTTGGCTGCTGACCTCTTAAAGGTGGTGGAAGAACAGTTGTAATATTCAGATAGGCCTAGGGGAGCGGGGAGGCCACCTGTGGAGATCCCTGGCGAGGCCATAGAGATGTATGGGTTAAAAGTTAAAGATATCACGGCCTTGTAAGTTATGGGGTTAGTCCATGGACGTTACATCGCCAAATGCAGCAGTGTGGACTGAAGTAAACAACAACTTAATTATATTTTAATATACGCGTAATAATCTTCGGAAATACTACCTTTTCTCTGTTCACGCTCCACTTTATCTGCTAAATGATTTAATGCTCAATTTTTTCAACAGTTCAAAACACGTAACATAGCCATATGCTATGTTTACCTGTTGTTGCCGAGGCCCGCCTTGATGCAGTGATTGACAGGCCAGGAGGGGGCGTGGTCGGCTCGGATTGCATTTTCAAAGTGCATGAATTTTGCTACATCCATTGCGGGGCACTTCATGAAAATGCAATCGCGAGTGTCTTGACTGTGAGTGTAAATGCAATTAATAAAAATAGCATTTGAAAGATCATTTTGCCACAGTTTTTGCTTGAATATGTCACACATATCTAATCATTTCTGTAATGCATTTTCATTTCAATTTTGCCACTTATAAAGCGTTTCAATTATGCATATTAAAACTAGTGTATGAAATGGCAAATGTAAATTATGTCATTTCATTTTCATTTTGCACCAAACGTTGCTAGAATGGTAATGTAAAATGTAAATTTAAATACAAAATGCAATGCCATTTTACATATTGCATTGTCATTTAGCATAATGCTACACATTAGCTTCCATAGCAAACAACCCAAGTTGTTTACTTTTTGCAAACAAACAAAAAAGTAAACAACCCTCATTAAAATGGGGTTTTCCCATCAAAATAGTTTGCTTTCTGGTGCCAGAACCCATTCTTGGCTAGTGCTCAGCCGGGCAAATTAAGCCTTTTTAAATCCAGCATTATGATTCCACAAACTTGACATAATGGGTTTTGATGCAACGTGTTATGTGACTGTCTAAAAACAAATGTGGTGTTTTATACAGTTAGGTAGTACTGACACTTTTATGTGGTCTTGTCTCTCCCACTCCAAAAAGGTTTCGAGCAAACTAATTTTCAGACTTTTATGCTGTATAAACCTATGGAATGGATTAAGAAAGGACACCGATCAGGAACCCACATCAGAACCACATTAGAGGAAAAAGTGCTCATAACTGAAACTTACTCTGATCCAGCGGCCATATCGGTGTAAGGTGTCTCAGGTGTGGTGACTCCCAGTGTGATTACTATGCTCATGACGTCGAGAGCAGCAACACAGGGAAGGGGATGGGGGGAGGGGGGGCAGGGAGGGGTGAGGGGAGGGAGAGGAGAGGAGAGGGGAGGGAAGAGGAGAATCAAGGGCTCCTAATGACAGCAGTGAAGCACTCCTCAGATGGGGCGCTGCTATACCACGTCACACACATCAGGAGACCTAAAATCAGACACAACCACAAAAACAGAGAGGATTAAGTATGTCATGTTGAAATGCCGTTAAAAACCGTGCAAACATTAGCCGCTTTTCCACTGTTGGGTCGAACAGTTCTAAGAAAGGTAAGGAAAGGTTCCAGTTATTTTTCCACTTGAGCCTGTTACGGCTCGATTACAAACCGTTCTCTGCCCAGAATTCTCAGCATGGTTGCTGCGGACCGTGCTGATAGAATGGATGTAGTGACATCGGCACTTAGGATTGGTCACTTGTCTGTTGCCTGGCTAAACAAGCTATTTGAGCAGCGTAAACAAATTAATAATAAAATTAAAAGAAAAATCTGATCATCCTCCTTAACGTGGTTGCTATTTACATCTAATAGCATCTGTAAACTCTTGCATCATTTCCGCATTAGATTGCTGCTCATCATGAAATGAAATGGTTAGGCAAAGAGAACGGTTTGGCCCAATGGTGGAAACGTGGCTTTTATAGCAACCACAAAAAAAGAAAACACTAAAACAAATTATTTACGTAGCTCATCAAGGAGTGTGCCCTTTAGATAAGCAATTGTGTGTAGCGGTGGGTGGTGTACTACTTTAAACCAAAAACTGGAATAGAAATTTCAAACAGCTGTTTTCGTTTTTTAAAGGGTACAATTTTTAATATCATGCTTTTAAATCTTATTTTTACATATAAATCATACCGTTGTGGTCTATATAAAACATAACTGCAATGCTTGGGTCTGAATTCCTCATTATTATAGCTCCACAAGCCCCTTTTCTACCCCTTTTCTGATGTGCGTCTCTGAGCGACCAGTTTCAAAGCGGCCCCTTTAAATAAAAAGGAGATGCGTCATAGCCCGCCCGCTCTCCAGGTCGATGAGTTCACGGTCAGTTCAACTCCTCACGTTCGGCCATTATTGTAGTTTGATTTTGTAGGAGCGCATACATTATGAGTGCAACTAAGTCAGTTTGACTAACTGTCAGTTTAAAGGAACACTCCGACTTTTTGGGACTTTAGCCTATTCACCTTACCCCCCAGAGTTAGATAAGTCCATACATACCTTTTTCATCTCCGTGCGTGCTATAAGTCTGTTTGACGCACCCACCGCTAGCCTAGCTTAGCACAAAGACTCGATGTGACTGGTTGCAGCTTTCATACTGATCCAAATGTGTGGCAAAATAACGCAAACGTTTTCCTATTTACATGTTGTGATTTGTATAGTCACATAATGTACAAATAACAAAGTCAAATGAGACACAGACATCTTTTAACCGTATAAAACCTGGGAACTATTCTCTGAAGGCGAAGCACTGCTACTTTGACGGCGTAATAACCGCATCACCGGAGACACGCCGTGGAGGAGCGGAGAGTTCGCTCAGTGTTTGGGTAATAGAGTCAGCAATTTATAAATAGTAAAAGCGTAGTTTAGAGTCATGGGTTTTCGCTCTATTGTAAATAGCTGCGACTGTAAACAGGGAGAAACATGTTTCACAGAATTCCAACTAAAAACGCTGACTGGATGAAGAAATGTCTAACTTACTCTGGATATTTATCCAAACACACCTAAGATTATCAAGGGACATTATGTTTGCTCGGTACATTTCAATGAGGACGACTATTTTGAAAAAATGGAATTTGCCACACGGACCATAATGTGCTGAAGGATACGGCCATCCCATCGATAGCACAGACAGGACAAGTGGATCACCTGCGGCTGAGGTAAGTGTTCCGTTATGTTTTTAGATGACCTACTGTAACAGTGCCTTTAGCCAGATCTAATGTAACGTTAGTGACACTATTATATGATTAGGGTATGAATATGTTTTTATCTTGATGCGGTGCGGACGCGCTTGGGAAAAAAAAAAACGAGCGCGTTCACCGCGTTGAACTTGCACCCTGCGCGCGGCGCGCCTAGTAGCCTAAATTTGAAATAACCATGGAAATAACAAACTTGAGCGTGCAAAAGGGTACGATAGGCTGTGAGTTCATTGTGCAAAAACAATTTGTGCTATTACTTTCCCCTTATTCTATCCTATAGTAATGCAATACTGTATATTATATAGGCTACTGTTGAATACATTTGGTTCAGCGAATAAATTGCATTTAAAATATATTGATTCCTGTAATAATAATTATTATTCATGTGATATTTTAAATCTGGGTGCGTTTTTGTTGGAAATCAATGAAACATGGTACTGTATTACCTGGTCTCCCCTGTTTATTGTCACAGCTCATACAATAAAGCAAACACCCATGATAAACTATGCTTTTCTATCTAACGTTAGTAATTGCTGACTCTTTATTCCAACGCTGAGCGAAGCGAACTCTCTGCTCCTCGTCACGGTGCGTCTCAGGTGATTGTTATCACTCTGCCCAAGTAGCAGTGCTTCCCCTTCAGAAAATATAGTATTTATACGGTCAAAAGATGTCTGTGTCTCATATGGCCTTGATATTTGCACACTCTGTGACTATACAAACCACAACATGTAAATAGGAAAACGTTTGCGTTATTTTGTCACTCATTTGGATTAGTATGAAAGCTGCAACCATTCACATCCAGTCTTTGTGCTAAGCTAGGCTAGCGGTGGGTGCGTCAAACAGACTTATAGCACGCACGGAGATGAAAAAGGTATGTATGGACTTATCTAACTCTGGGGGGTAAGGTGAATAGGCTAAAGTCCCAAAAAGTCGGAGTGTTCCTTTAAACATAAAGCGCAAGAAGACAAGAACTTGCGCAATGTTTTCTGTCAGCCTTACTGAGGTGTATTTTTGTCCCACCAAAGCCTTTTTTGACCGGTGAGTGATGCAGAATGTAGATGACTGACTGCTGCGCTTGTTTAACTGAGAGAATGAGCAGAGAGTGAAAGCCCCGGTCACGTGGTCGCCGTCTTCTACATATATATATATATATATATATATATATATATATATATATATATATATATATATTGAACGTAACATATCCGTAACGACTCACTCTCTCTCTCTTTTTTTTTTTTCTGAACTACCACTGGTTGTGAATTGGGCTAAAATAACATTGTCTTATCTTCTCTGAAAAGCTTTTTCCACACATTCAGATGACAAACCACACTAAAAAAAAAAAAAATCTATCTACTACAAAAAAATGTATCTACTGATGAAATGTTTTCTGTGTTGGACAAATCTTGTGCGATGTCTTGAACTGCCTGGATAATCACACAACGTGTGTAGTGGTCCTTAATGAAATGTCCGATTCGCGAACTAATGACTCATTTGAACCGATTCACTTTAATGAATGTCCAACACTGAACTCAAGACAAGATGACATAAATCGGAAACACTTTACAATAAGGTTCCATTTATTTAGTCTAGTTAACTACATTAGTTAACATTCTTTAATATTAGTTTCTATGCGGATTTAC